GGCGGATCGCATGTATATTAACGGGCATCGCTGCCCGTTTTTTAAATTCCGGCCATTGCCCGCAAGGGGGCGTGTCTGAGCGGACGTCTAGAGACGCCCGCTCAGATCGAGAGAGCTCCTGGCCGGCCGTTTTTTTACTACGGCCGGCCCGGAGGTAGTTAAAGGAGAACTATGAGGTTAGTGATTTTCACTCATCCTCATAGTTTGAGCCGACGTGCGACAATTAAACTGCCACACGTCGGCTCTATAGATCGGGAAGTGAGCGAACGCATACCGTCGCTTGCTCACTTCTCGATCATGTCCCTGCAGAGAGCCGCGACTCACGGCACCCTGCAGGGATTCCCCCCTCCCCTGTCCGATCCTCCAGCGCTGACAGGTGAAACGGACGGGGGAGGGGGCGGGTTACAGCTGGCTCTGCCTCTAGTTAAAATTAAAAGTTATATAAAATTAAATACTTCTGTTATGGATTACACTTTGTATAGAATACATATTAATAGTCTATGTTATATATTGATATAAAGTGTTAATATTTAATATCATTTACCTACAGATCAAATTGAAGGAGATTTTTGAAACCCCTACAGAAATTAGTCTTGTTCTTGAACTGGTGACGGGAGGGGAACTGTTTGACAGGTGAGTAATGAATAAAATTGCAGAGCAGAATTTGATGGCTGTATATAATGCTGGCACGTGAAAATGCAAGGAATGCACTTTTTATAGACATGCTGGGCTCCACAACACAAACAAATTACTATGCTCTTACCATAAGACTCTGAGGCTAATTCACCTACAGCACCATCATTATTCCCGTGTCCTTACTTTCTTCACAATAAACCATCCCCGATTTAACAGAAACATCTTGTTTTCTGTGCTGCCAGAGAGGTCTGTTTATTACTAATAGAGGATAATGTAATCCAGAAGCACTGTTGTACCGATAGGTATCTTCTGTAGGGGATTGTCTCACAAAGTGGAATTTAAGCCACAACAGGGACATAGGCAGTGATAAATACTGACAGAGGGTCTGACGCTTATAAATATTATGCAAAAATTATCAAATATAACTTGAGCTGAAGTTCCACTTTAAATCACCAAATCTGTAATAGAAATAGGAGTTATCAGGATGAGAGGAGAGAGGTTGAATCTCAGCTTTTCTTCAGAATCAGACAAAAAATAATTTTTATGTCTTGGTTTTTCTTGCATAGTTTACATTAGACTTTTGTGTTGCCCATTGTACGTTAACCTGGCATGCCTAAAAAACTGCTTATGTGCAGTTACATAGTTGTAAAAATATCACACAATTCATAGTCATGGTTAATATTCATATTATTGCGAAGTGAGAATTTATATAGTTATTTTCCTTAAGCCATTTGCTCATTGGCATTAGTAGCTGGTTATTATACTGCCATCTGGTGGTCGTTTCGGTTATTGCACCACATTTTCTGTATTCCCTCACCTTGTGTGTGATGTACGTCCTTCTTGTTAGACTTGTCGTTTCTGGCATCAAAATGGCTGACTGTAACATGGCCACATATTAATCGGTCTGCCTGCTTGGAAACATTACCATCTCTGACCTTCAAATACCGTCTATTCATTCATCTGCTGTATCCTGTTGTCTGCTGTAACCTGCTGCATGCAATAAAGCACTCTGTGGTATTTGGTGAGTTCAGCTATCTGTTAAGGATTGTCCGCGGTTATTATATCTGCTTATACAGGCCCAGCATAGAGATTTAAGCAAAGGATAAATCACTAATAAAACAATCGGAGTCAGAATAACTTAGGATAACAACACTGCTGAAGTGTAGATATCTTGTAGTGCCAGATTTAAAGATACCCAGTCTGTAGAAAATAACTAAAAACGTTTACAGGGTTACAGTGCTTCAGAATATATTAACAGCTATAGCTTCAGAATGGCTGTAAATATAGCTGAATGCCTGGATATTTTGACAGGCAAAGCTCTAACACTTCCAGGTACTGTGGAAGTCCCACTCCATCACATTCTTATTGGCTCAAAACTATGTTAGGCCGCCTCATTGGTAAATACAAATGTGCAGGAGGCAGGAAGTGTTAAAGCTTTGCGAGTCAGAACAGCCATGGATTTGTACCTTTCTGCACTGCTTGTAGTAATGTATATGCTTGCAGAAGTTTTTTTTTCTAGAGATAGAGAGGGGAATTTATCAAAACTACATCAGAAAAAATCTGGAGCAGTTGCCCAGGGCAACCAATCAGCTTCTCTCTTCAGTTTGTTCAGTTAAGATTTGAAGATAAAAGAGAGAAGCTGATTGGTTGCCCATGCACAGCTGCTCCAGATTTTGTCTGCTCCAGTTTTGATATATTCCCCTCTCAGTCTTTTAATGTCCAAACCAATTTCCATCTACATCTCTTCTGGCCAAAATAAGTGCAAGCCCCACTCTTTTCCAACACTAAACTCCATCCCTACAGCACTGAATGAGCTTTTACTAGTGCTTGTGTTGTGAATGTAGCTGTGCTGAATGAAGGCGCTTGTCTTCAGTGCGCGCCTGCTGTCAGAGACAAGCACGGTCAGTCATCTCTCATTAGTTATCCATCTCCTTGTGAGCAGCATGGTTGGCCAGCTGTGGGATGAGGGGGGCAAGTGGTCAACCACGCTAGCTTAGCAACAGGGACCACTGACCAGTATGGAACATAGTTCTTCATGCACTTAGTTCCCTTGGAATGGAAAGCTTCCCTCAGTATACAGTAAAAGCTCATGTTAATGGTGTTAATATGGTGTTTTGCTATGGCAAAAAAACAGTGCTGTATGGTGATCCAAACAACTTGAGTATGCATCAGTTATTTTTTGGTGTCTCTACTTCTACTTTAGCAGCATTGTGCTTGTGTTCACATACCGAGACAGTTAAAGGAGAACTATGAGGTGAGTGCTTTTCACTCACCTCATAGTTCTAGCTGACCTGTGACAATGAGACTGTCACAGGTCGGCTCAGTAGATCGGGAGGTGAGCGAACTGGGGAGGGGGCGGGTACAGCTGGCTCTGCCTCTAGATAGGCAGAGCCAGCTGTCAGTCACGCAGCTGGGCGGATCCCGGCACAATTGTCGGAATCCGCATCAGCTGCGGCGTCTCAATATGCCGCTAGCAGCAGCTCGCGGTATACTGCGGCGTCTCAGTATACCGCGAGCTACAGCTCTTAAAGCCATCCACTATGGCCGGGTGCTGGTCCGGTACATAATGCCAGCAGATAAGTACCGGTAATATGGAGAAGTCTTCACACAACTAGGCTATTTAAAACTTTTTGGAGGGTTTTATTGAATGGTACAGAATGCATTTTTTCTGTGTTTCATGATCAAAAGCACTCTTTGAACAAATGTTTGTAAGGTGAAGCATGTAAAAGTTCTATCCTGTGCAGTTTAACAGACTAAGAAATAGGTTTTCCACATTGTGGTTGTGCAGTGAAGCCTACATATTCTTAGGGCATCATGATGTCTTAATCTAAAAAAGTATACAAAGGATATCCCATTGCACTCCAAACCAGTATCCCACTTCAAGAAACGTGGTGGGTGCTGTAGTGACCAACGGATGGCACACCAAATTCATCCATATCAATCCGTCTTTTATTGACGTCCGATAAATATGGTATCATTGCATGTTCCTGTGATACCATGTTTATTGGACATCAATAAAAGTCTGATTGATATGGTGGATTTTGGTGTGCTGGTGACTACCTTTTTCTTTATTTACTCTAAAAAAGGGTCTCACATACTTACTTATAAATTTTAATCTTTGTATAATTTCCTTTAGATTTTCAAAACTTTGTATATGAGGACCTCCTTAAATTAATCATAAAAATTGTATCAAATTAGACAAGCCCTTGCGCAGCATAGCTGTTAGTAGATCTGTAGGCAGGACCGGATTTACCCTCCCTGCCGCCCCAAGGCCGGGTTCGTCAATGCTTTTTTACTTTTTTAATTTGTATTTATCTTGTCATCTTTTAATTTTTTTATTATTATTTTTTATCTTATAATTTTTTATTTATAATAATTTTTGTATTTTTAAAAATATTTTTCTTACAATTTTTTACTTTATTTATTACTTTATTTTTTAATGTAATTATTATTACTTATAATTTTTTACTTATTTTTATTTATGTAATTATTTTTTTATCAATTGTTTTTCCCACCTTACTTTATTGCTATCACACAGGAGCTAACAAGTCACTGTGTGATAACATTTGGAGGTGACAAGTTCTCTTTATTGAACCTGTCACCTCCAATACAGGAGTTCTAGCACAGTACTCTGCTGGAACTCCTTAGACAGCTGAGAGTGGAAGAGCACAGCTCTGCCCTCTCACTGTGTACACAGAGCGGCAGGGTTAGTTTTAACCCTGCCGCTCTGCTCACTGCTCCCGATCCTGAAGACGGCGGCGGCGAGGACGGAGTCGGGAGGAAGCAGCATGGAGAGAGGTAAGTGCAGGATAGGGAGGGAGCGGCTGGGGGAGGACGGACCGGCAGTCTAATTACAAGTGATCTCGGCGACATCGCCGAGATGACTTGTGAAGAAACAGGTGATTTCTCCTATTCTACATTTAGCTCTGCTTGTGCAAAGCAGGGCTAAATGTAGAAAGTAAATTACCGCCCGACACCCGGAACGCCATGTTTCGGGCGTCGGGTGACTTCAAACCTGTGCCGCCCCTCTGCTCAGTGCCGCCCCGTGGCCGGGCCTCGGTGGCCTTGCCGGGAATCTGGCCCTGTCTGTAGGAGATTGTAAAGTCAGATTGTAATGTGTGTGGTGAGCTTTACCCAGTGGCTCTACCCTCTCTCAGTTCAAGTATAAATACTGTAATAGATTGTGCGTGCGTGTGTTTAGGTTAGTAAATCACCCCCTCTGTGTGGGTAATGTTGAAGTCCTGCTGAAAATACATTATACAGAATACCAATTTACTGTCCTACACATGCTGGTTAGTAATCCTTGTTATTGCATGTCGAGACTCGATAGCCTCAGCGGGCACGCGCAGTGGGTAAATAATGTTTTATGCCTATATACCGCCAGATTACAAAGTGTTAGCGGTTTGTTTAGACCGATTTTACAATTTTTTAATATGGCTATTCGAGTCCTTAGCAGAGTTTAGTATTTATGACACATTATCATACTATTAAAATAAACATTTGATGTGTCTTGGTATCTAAATGCATCTTTACACAGAGCAATAGCTATGCAATCAGCAGTGCTTTAGTGAAAGTACACTGCCTATAATCAACATGCTTCTTATGTTTCATGAGTGACTGATTGCCATAAAATGTACATTATCAGCCTCATACTGAGCAGTCAAAGTGCTCCACTAAGCAATTTAATTGAAATGTATCTAGCTCTAACCACTTGAATGTCACTGAGGAGGAACACTAAAATATGATATGCTTTTGTCCAGTTTTGGATGTGTTACTCTTATATATGCCCTCAGTCTTTTTTTTTTTACGATAACCAGCATTTTGGGTATGGCCTATTGTGTGTTAAAAAACAGGCACAGTAAATAAACTAGTTGATAAGTAAATCATTATAATAAAGTAATGTAGAAAATAGCAACCTGATTCATTACAGTAAATGTAAAGTGACTCTGTAATTTTGCCCATTTGATGCCAAGTTACCTGAACTCTCAATTCCTACCCCCCGACTCACTTATACCCACCCAGGGATGTCCATATAATGAGGCAACTTGAGGCTCAAGTGCCTTAAGTGGCATTTCTTTGGGTCACATGGGGGAACATGGCGTGTCTACTGCACAATGTGCCTGCCTCCTCCTTTCTGGCCAGGGTGTCCCAGGTTGCTAAGAGCCCGGCAGGAAGATGTGTAGGGCCATACACATCTCCCCGCCCAGCTCTTAGCAACCGGGGGTGCTCTGGCCGACAGCCTGCTCAGCTCCTGGTAACCAGTGATGTCACTGTTTGCCAGATGATGCTTCCATGCACCCTGCCTCCAGCCCCCCCTTATAGCATGCACCACCAGCAAGGGCCCGCCCCCATGCCTGAGGCAAAGAAAAGGCTAGAGATGCCCTTGTACCAACCTCTCTGAAGCTACCATGTTGCTCAGTTCCACGGCCGTCCTAACCTTGTGTGTAAAGCTTATACAGTGGTTTTGCTATTCAAGCTCTCAGGTTTTTTTTTTCTGAACAGAGAATCAATTACAAATTTTACTATAAGCAGCAATAGGTAGAATCTGTTATTGCAGCTTATCTATTTGAAAAACATAGTATTTAATTGATCAGTCTTAAAGCATATGTTCCCCAAAAATAGGTGTTGATTTGCCAGAAATGGACTCGGCTCTTAAAGTAACATTAAACTCAGGAGTTAAATCTTAAAAATACATTCAAGTACCCTAACTATAAACAAAAATATCTTATTTGTGTATCACTCAGCTGTAGATCCCCAAATCATCTCTGAATTGGTGCTGAAGCTTTTCTTCCTTCTGGAGGGTGCCTACTTTTGCTCCGCATGGTCCCTGTGTGTTATAAAGTAGCCACCGCTCCTCTGATCTCGCTCCTGTGATAGACTACAATCTCACATTTAGTTTACTTATTTGTATTGAGATTGTAGTCCATCACGGGAGCGAGACTGGAGTGGTGGCTACTTTTCAACACAAACAGGGACCATGAGGAACAGAAGTGACCACCCTCCTTCTGGAAGGACGGTGTCAGCACCAATTCAGAGATGATTTGAGGATCTACAGCCGAGTGATACACAAATAAGATACTTTTTTGTTAGTAGTTAGGGTACTTGAATGTATTTTTAAGATTTAACTCCTGAGTTTAGTGTCACTACAAGCCCTGTTGTGGCCTGACAACACACAGCATTTTGTGGACTAAGTGACATCAGCCCCACTCACTATATTTTGTAGAACTGCTCAGCCACTTCCACATTTAAATCTTTACAACACAAAGCCTAATCATTATGTAGTCCATGATAAGAACTAGGAGGGCTAAATAGACTTGTTGCGATAACACAGGAAGTGTGCAGAGGAAACAGGACTGTTAAATCAAAGCGAAAATCAAACCAAATTTCGAACAACATTCGTCAAGTGTCTGATGGCATTATCAAATGTTCCAATGAGATTTCTGGTACGAACATCTACCAATGTATACCCTACTTTACTGTTGTGCGCCAGGGATGTTTTGTTTTTCATGAATTTCCACTTTAAGGGCCATCCAAAATGTACATATAACATTTCAGTTTTCCTGTTAATAATTGTTATATTGGCACATCAATATGAGCAGACAGGCCTGTCAGTGATATTGTAGGAGGTGCAGCTGCTCTGAGCGATAATGGTAGTTAAGGCCAAGTCAGTCTAAAGGTGGCCATACACTGTACAACCATCGCAAGACCTTAGTCTTGCGATGGTTGTAAAGGGATTAAAAAAAACGTACGATCTGCCCATCTTGGACGGGCAGATCACACTCTCGATCATCGCAAGCCACGCCCCCTGAGGGGCGGGCTTGCGATGACTGTAATGAGGGGCGGGCTTACGCTGACTGCAAACGGGCAGTGTGCGCGTGCGCACACCGGCCCATTCGGCAGTTGTCGAACCAGCAGGCCACCAACTCGCCGAGAATCGTACGATTCCCGGCGGGTTTTCAAACATGCTGGTTCGATGGAAGACGTGCAACCGTACAGTAGAAACGGTTGCACGCCTTCCATACACTGCACGATTCTCGTACGATCGCGGGATTTCCCGCGATTCTCGTACGAGAATCGTGCAGTGTATGGGCACCTTAAGCCTGTCATTGCCTCTGAAAGAAGTTGCTTTCTGCTGTTGTTGTGGACCCATAGTTTGAAGTAGCCATACTACGTTTCATTCAACTTATGTTGAAACATCAGTTATACTTTAATGTAATGTAGTTTGTGTATCAAATCTGTGTCTGTTTTGTAGCCCTAAGTAAGGGGGAGATCTCAGATACCCCAAATTACCCTGGCCCTTTTTTTTGCTTTGGCCCTTTATTATCTTGTTGAACGAACGATGTTATTAAAAGCTTTTGGACTCCTTGGTTAGGCGTTTTCACTTGACTTTGTAGGACCTCGGATTCCAAACTTTGGGTCCCCCAGTCAAGTGCTACCCTGTTTGTGTTTGAAAACAGCCACGTCAAAGCCATTGTACCCTTCTGAATTTGTCTGATCGTCGGCAGTCATGAGCCATTGATGAGTCGGATCAGGCGCCTCAGTCCCACATGTTTCAATTATGCTTTAATGTAAGACTTGTCTCTTGTGTTTTTTACAGGATTGTGGAAAAGGGATATTACAGCGAGCGAGATGCAGCTGATGCTGTGAAACAGATTTTAGAAGCTGTTGCAGTAAGTGTTTTGTTTTATTCTCAACCACTTAATAGTATATTTCCACTCTTGAAATTATTGGTTAAGAGAGGAGAAAAAGGAAAGAAAAGCTGTTGCCTATATTAACCAGTTAGTTTCCATCAAAGTATTTTTTTAAAAGGTCAATCCTCCAAAAATGAATATTTCAGATGCTGGAGGGGTTAACTGCCTGACAATTTCTCATACCTCTTGGTTACACTATTGACAAGATATCTGTACTTCAATTCTCAGGTCTATTCACTCCGTAAGGGCTTTATAAAGGGGTCTCATGCCTACCTACTAGGTTTGCTATTTATTATTATGGAAAATGTAGCAGGAAAAGCTAGAATATGCAAATCTGGGTGGAAGAGTCAAATATGTGCAACAGCTTGGGAGCAATGCAGCAATAGTATTTGAAGACATGGGACGCCAGAAAGGTAAGTATAGATGGACTTCTTAACAGGGCTTGCCTTTTTTTATAAGTGACCCTGTGCTTACGGGGTGACTTTAAACCATAAAAGAAGAACACACTTTATTCGTCCGCTTGCAATAAACTGCTTGGAAGTGATATGTGTTTGTTATAGATTCTAATTCTTCTAATTATTTTGTATTGTTTATACATTTTTTTCAATGTATCTTTACTCTAAGCAGTATTTATACCATTTGCCCACTTATTAATTACTTGCCGCCAGAACCTAGCTTTTCCTTTAAGCGAAATAAAAGTCTAGAAGAACATCACTTAGATGATATTACCACTCCCCCCAAGAGAGGGGCCAAGTCTTATTACATTTCATCTATAAACCGATCTATTTATCTGTTCATATTCTTCACAGCTGCAGAGCACAGACCAAACACCCTCTGTTAAATTCTCTTTGTTAAATCCCCTCTACACAGCTAAACCATCACATTATTTATATCTAACAGAAAAGCCAATGACCTTATGTTTTATGGGTATTGTATTATGTTTGCCTAAGTGTTATACATATAAAAATTAGTTGCAACACTGAAGTCTAGGCAGACAAAAAAAACAATCACAATTGTAAAAAAAGCATTACATATATTTTAAAGCTGAACTCCATGAAAAACAAAAAGCTCTCCTTGCAGTGGGGCTGCCCTCGTAAAGCAACAGTTAACTGCTCATTTAGATCTAGGTCTTTTTACCTGGAAAAAGGACTTTTACTTAACTGATCCACGCACCCGCAGGTTCCCTCTAGGCTGCAAGACTGTCACCTGTGGCTTCTTTCCCCATACGCTTTGGCAGGTGGAGGCCCACTGATGTCATCAATTATAATGCAGGACCCATATCTATCTGGTAGCTTTAATTGGGTTCCATACAGTGTAAGTGCTTAATGTAAACCTAAACCCAACCACTTAAAGTAGCATTAAACCTTTCTTGTTTTTTTATTGTGCGTTATTTTCTTCTGACCTCTGAACTCTGTGTTATTCCTGACCTCTGACACTGTATATCACTTACTCCTTATCTCTGCACTCTGTGCGTTACCTGCTTCTGACCTCTGCACTCTGTGCGTTACTTACTACTGACTTCTAACTCTGCATTCCTTACTACTAACCTCTAACTGTGTGCATTCCTTACTCCTGACATCTGCGCGATGTATGTTACTTACGCCTGACCTCTGCGCGCTGTGCATTACTTACTACTGACCTCTGAACAGTGTGTGTTACTTCCTTCTGACCTCCGACATCTGCATTCACCTCTGCAAGAATCTAGTTCAAAATAGCCAAACCAGAAAATTTCTACCATTTAGCTCACTTTCCAAATTCCCCCGCAATTCACCTTTTAGTGAATAGACCTGCTGTTTTGAAAATAGCATGGAGCAATAATTTCTGTAACACAAGAATGTATACACAGGTGGGGCTTGTGGATGGGTGGGGCTTGTATATGGGTGGAGCACATGGGGCCCCATAATCTCTTATTGCCCGGGGGCCCCATGTGTGGTCAGTCCACCTCTGCAGATAAATGAGAGGCTGCACACAGAAAGTAAAGATGCTATATATCCCATTTTATATTGAGGGTTTAATACCACTTTTGTTCTTGCATACATTTTAAAAAGATAATGTGATAAAAACATTTTAATATGATAAAAACTATAAAAGATTGTTTTCAATTTTTTTTAATTTGCATCCTTCATTAAAATATCTGGTGATTCTACCATGATTGTCTTTGTTCAGAAACTTTCTCCATTTTGGAGAAAGTGCATGTAGACAGGACATGGCTGAAAGAGGCTGAAGAAGATCCGCAGCACTGAGAAAGAAGCAAAACAAATAAAAAAATAAATGAATTAAAAAGGTAGAAAAAGAAACAAAACAGGGAAATTGTTAATGCTACACAGTGCTTTAGTGTGATAAATGTCACCCAGTTAGGGTTTAGATCTACTTTATTGGAGGTAAAATGTAAACCCCACTGTAACATACAGAATCAACCAACATAAAACAACTCCTTGTCAGCTTGGTGATTGCTAGCATAATTAATTGGTTGCCGTATGCAAGCTCTAAGGATTGCAGAGCTGGCTGTTTGGATTACGGCTATCATAGGTTTTGAGCAATTCTCAAGCTAGGGTCTCCACGCTATAAATAACTGTCTGATCATCAGGTAAAAGAGTCCTAATCCTATTTTACCTAGTGATAGGCAAAGTATTATCATGAGAATTTAGGTTGGTGATTCAGCCTATTTGAGCCTGCCAGTGTGCCTACTGTGTCACTAGTTCCTGTAAGTTTCTCAATTAAAGAACCCTATATTTACCCGATGATTGATTAGAGGGACTCAACATGTTTACAGAATTTAATCTTTGGGTTGTTTTTGTAATCCTTTATACAAAAGCATTAATGCCTTGTGGAATTTCTGAAGGAGTTGTTCTAGTAAATCAGCACATTGCTGAAATAATCTTTGGGGAATTTAGTTAGCTACAAATGGTCAAATGTCAGAATCTTGCATAAATAGATTTTATGGAAAGACATCTAAGGCCACAATTACATATTTGCCTAGAATAGTATTTTTCCTTATCTTTTTAATAGGTGCTTTAAATGACCATCAATCATAAAATGTTGTGATGTGCGTACTACGCATAAAATTATTAAGCTGCTGCTTGAATACATTGCTCAAGTTCTGCTGACTTGCCAAAGATTTGAGCAGTGTAGAGCCAAAACCAACACCCTACCATTCGACAAAAGCCTATTTTCAGTGAACTTTTGTCAAAGGCGCCAGGCTGAACAGTCCAAACAGTGACTGCAACCAACATAATAATATAATATAATAGCCCAGCAGGGGAGATTCTAAACTTTTAAACAGCGTAGATGGGGGGAATCAAGATGACCAAATGCCTAGGGTTTTGGTTACATGGGGACCAGAGGAGGGAGCCGGAAGCAACATTTTAATCAGGAAAGTTATATACAGTGTATCATCCTCTTGTAACTCTTAATTAATAATCCCAACAACACAGCTAGTATTTCAATATCTTCCCACTCTAATCAGGTCACCAACCCCCATGAGATAATATTATGTAAGTTTGAACATTTTTCAATTTCATCTTAAAGAGAACATTGTGAATATTAATTTAATAGTAATAGAAAAAGAACCGTGTGACAAGTTTAAAAGCAAATTCCCTATTTTCTGCTGGGAACTATCCCCTCATGAGTCATCCATGATTTTCATTTTGAAATGTAATATTCACAAAACATTTGTAAGGTTTAGCTGACTATTCTTTTCAATTATATAGATACTACATAAAAAATCATTAGCTCGAGCTCTCAAAAGGTTTCTTTTCATTAGCCTTAAAGCAGTGACATCTGTACGGCGCTGGGTATTTCATATCATTCCCCATTGCTAGACATCTAAATCATTTGTATCTGACATGCTTTTTTGCTGGCCTGCTTGAAAGGGTGCCATCAATGAGTATGGATTACTCATCAGAGAAGAGGTGTCTACAGCAAAAACTGAAAGATTTTCTTTTTAAAAAAACATTGTCCTATAAATTATATAAAGACCCGGGCCTTATTTTGTATTAAAGACAGTGATAACAAATAAATGTTTTTGTATAAAGGGGCAAAACAGCAGGACAGCAAGCCCCATAGCACTATTCCTTCTTCAGGACCAGTCCCTAAACATTGACAGGAGGAATTCTAAAATACTGTGTGTACTGGGGGTGCTACCTGTCACTGGTCAGTTCATAACTAAATTATTGAAATACACTGCTCATGCTTTTGTTGTTTATTTAACATGGGCAATATCAATATATTTTCTTCACTTTTCCCCAAGAGAACATGAAACATTAATAAATAAGATATCAGTGAATACTTCCTCATGCTTTAGTTTAGGCTGATAGCAAGCACACATTTATTGCTTTGGTTCCCTTCTTACCCTTAAGCTGCCCATACACCTTACAACCATTGCACGACTTTCGTTGTGTGATGGTTGTAAGGTCATTAAAATTTTGTACGACCTGCCCATCTTGGACAGGCAGATCCTACTTGCGATCATCGCAAGCCCTCCTCGCTGAGGGGAGGGCTTGCCGATAATTGCAATGCTGAGCGGGCAGTGTGCGCTTGCGCACACCGGCCCGTGCGGCTTTCGTATACCGAGCACGCAACCAAACCGGGTTTTTCAGCGTGCTAGGAAGACGAAAGTAGTGCGACCGTACAGTAGATGAGGTCGCACGCTGCCCATACACCTGCCGATTATCGTACGATCGCGGGATCACCGTACGATGATCGTACGATAATCGGCAGGTGTATGGGCACCTTAAGAGAGATGTTTACGTCTCAAATGGGAAACTCCCCTTAGCACAAACAAGCTTCTTGCACGTGGCACAGAACGGGAGGAGTACTGGAGTAAATTGGAGGAGTACTGAATGATCTTTCCAGTCAACTTTAAAAAAAAAGGCAAATGCATTTCCTATAGTCAAACATAACAAACACGTGCATGTGTTTTATTTGCAGCCAATGATTCACCTGCAGTAAATGTTTGGTGAATGTCACATTCACTGCATTATAAATGAGCCCCTAAGACAATACTTATCCAGGGAACAGTTTTAACTGTGTGTGGCTACATGGTTTAAGGAGCATAGGCCAACACTGAACTTTAGGTATGAATTATTTTGCAAACTTCCATTTGTCCAGCTCCGCCCATTGTAAGTATGCATGTGCCATACCTGATGGCACTGTAGTAGCGAAAAATGTGAAGTTCAGGTTATATGTATATATAGAGACTAAACTTTTGTTCTTGGATGGAGTAGGGGAGGGTTATCTGTTCCCCGTACTTCCTGGTTGCAGGGGGAGGATACTGATGGCAGAGGAGCCATTGTCTTCTTCTGCCATCAATCAAAGAGAGAAGTGGCGTGGCCTGCCACAGGGCAGTGTGTGTCTATGGATGCACACAGCCACTGCGGGCACAAACGCACACGGGTGCCTCCATTAGCCGATAGAGGCACCTGTACAGGGGATGGGGGGGAAGACTGCTGCAGAGACCCACTTGAAAATGAGGAACTTAAAGATTTTAAAGAAAAACAGCCTCAGGCAAAGGTGGGCATCCTTATAGCAAATATATAAAAAAAGGAAAGCTTAATATCTTTTTAAACCCCAACCCTAAAACCCAACCCAATATGTTTGGGGTTTTTTAACCTGTAAGTTAAAAAGAAATATACAAACATAAAATAAATCTAAAAAAATAAAACAATCTATAAAACACCCTACACAAAAAGATCAGATTCAGCTTATGCACAGTGAACACAGAGGTGGGTACACAATAATTAATATGGAACTCTAACATACTGCAGTTCCCATTTGTGTATCTCAATGGAGCACAGTGTACAATGGGGTGTACACCATGCAGCCCAACTCACTGTCATTTACTGTATGGATTAATTCACACTACCATATAATAAGCTGCACATAGATGCACGCATCGTATTTTTCCATATGCAGCATATGCAAATAAATGGCTCCATACACATAGCTGAATATGGAGTCGTATTTTTGCGCTGCGTAAAGATGTGCAAAAGAAAATGGAACCGAGATGCACCCTGGCTCGGAAATTCTGCGTATTTTATGCTTGTGTGCACATGTACGTGTGTGTGCGCGCGTATAAGTGCGTACAGTACATTGAAGTTTCTATTAAAAATGATACATTCTGGGATTGCATACAGTTCACGCATATACGTGCAGATACATGCATACATATGCGCATATACGTGTCTATACGCATTTACAAATATGCGTACAATTTTGCTCTTGCGTTGTGTGTGAATGAGGCCTAATAATGTAGCACAATACAGTACTTGCTGCTTCCTTGAACACCATCCAGGGAGACCACACGATAGGAGTAAAACTAGATGTCTTATTTGATTTTAGGGTTACTATAGTTGCTGACCTCGCTCCCACTAGCTCCCCATAATCTATTGCATTTTGTTGCCCAGGCATCCTATTATGCATGAGCCCACACATTAGTCTATGTCTTTTTAAATGAGATGACTCCCGGTATGCCCACCAAAGTTTTTATTTTAATCTTTAAACCTGTACTGGAACATAAAGGGAACACCACAGATAAGGCTTTAGGGCCTACTGGAATTATTGGCACTATTTCAGACTGGCCCTACCTCTGACCCTACTGCTGATGCATGATTATTGCAAAAAATAAAATAAAACTTTATGATGTCCTTTTGGTGACAAGTCTTTTGCAGAACTCTCTCGCGTTACTTGTGTCCTTCTCACACAACTACTCCAAGCACAGGTCTATGAGTGTTTTATGATAAATACGGCCTTGTTTATTGGACAAATGCAGCCAAGGTTTATCCATCTGAGCCTGCACATTTTATGTGGGGGAAAATAATCAAACAGGGTTATTCACAAACTGGTGAAGAGTTTGGCAAAGGCAGGAGAAGTGAACAATCTAAGCCAGAATAGCTCATTTGGAAACATTCTCCAATTCAGCTCACTTTCCAGTTCAGCTATGTTGTCCTAGATTGTTCACTTCTCCTGCCTTCTCCAAACTCTTCACCCTTTTGTGAAGAACCCTGAAAGACTATCTCTCTGTGAATGCCTGGGAAGTATGTAAAGGTGACACAATCCCATATGTTAGCAATTTTCTATTGTAGCTGCCTACTTGCTGTCTGCTAAGCAAATATTAATTTTAGATTGATTAAGATCCTGACAACAGCCTGGTTATACAACATGGTAAATGAAATATGTATTATCTGCCTGGATTTCTAGGTTTTGTAGGACACAATAATTCCTGAAATCTACAGTATTTCTTCTAAAGGCTGCTGACACTTCCAAGACAAGATCATTTATGTGTGCATCTTATATAAAATCCTGTTAAAAGTTTACATGTTGAAACTCATGGGCTTAACATTTTGCACAAACATATACTGCTGCCTTTAATTAAAAAAAAATAACTGCTCTTTTTTTAGCTGAAAGGGTATGACTGTGTATACTGTCCAGTTGAGGTGAATTAAAGTAAAACACAAAGGGGTTGATATATAAACCTTCCTCCCTGTGTATGCTGAGGGAATGCCGTTCGTGCGGCTTTGCCACCACTAGATAGCATAGACATTTCCTAGTGGTGGTAAATCTAGCGGCGGTAATGGCATGTGGACAGCAATCGCTCAGCTTTATGTTGAACAGCAGGGGGTGGGAAAGTGACATCATCTCTCCTCCAATCACAGAAAATCTTGTATTCTTTAAAAAAAATACATTGCATTTTGTGAATGGATAAGTAGTGAGGAGGGGCAGGGGATGTGACCTGAGCACTTTGCGGCTTGCGTCACATCCCTCCCCCACAGTGCCCGGAAGATTGGTATTATGCATAGGTACCTGGCATGCTGCAAGGTAGGGATTTTGTACTTTGCAGCTGCCCTCTGCACATAACACCCAGCTTTTTAATTATAATTTGCACACCCAATGCAGTGTGCAAATTAGCAGTTTTTCCTGGAGTTTGGCTTTAAGTACATATTTAGCTACTACCATCAAATGTAAAGATAGGAAAAATAGCATAAATTTTTCAGGCTGACATTGTTCCTTTCAGCACACCACATCAGAACATGAATCACTGATGAGCAATCACAGCAGCAATTAATATTTTTCAGGTGAAGTGGGGCTAATAGATTACTTTCATTTTCCAGTATTTGCATGAAAATGGCATTGTTCACCGAGATCTCAAGCCAGAAAATCTCCTCTATGCTACTCCAGCACCAGATGCTCCTTTGAAAATTGGTAAGCATTTTTGAAACTCTTCTGTATTATCTTCATAATTATGATTGGTACCATGCCAATAAGATGGCAGTGAGAAAATGACCATAATTCAGTTTTAATAAAAATATGCAAATGCATTTAAGTTATCTATCATAATTTAATTAGATCTGTAGCATGTATGAATAGGACTCTTAAATCGGCATATGCAGAAGCATAGCTTTACTGGCAGTCTATAGTTGCAACAGATACCCAAAGTTCATTGCTATGATGTTTATTTAAAGAAGAATTGGAGCTATGTGCAAAAACAACTATTACGCCACACATGTTAGAACGTTGGAGTGCGAGTAGTAATTCTAGGGTCATCATAAGGCTTGACATATTTGGTATCTATTTACCCAACATGACCCCATCTTTTATATTTTACCAAAAAATAGGGTAATAATAAATGTTTCATAGCATAGTGTAGGGAAAACAGTTTTTCTTTTCAAAATGTTTGGTACTTTTTTCTTTATCGTGTAAAAAATAAAACCCCAGTGGTGATTAAATACCATTAAATGAAAACTCTACCTGCCCCCCAAAATTATATAAGATTAATTTCAGTATGGCGCTGCATGACTGAATATATGTCAGTCACCACAGCGCTGAATACTGAAAAATGGCCTGGACAGGAAGGGGGTTTAACACCCCGGTCTTCAAGTGGGTAAAATAAAAGCTGTGCAATAGGTGCAGGTAAGTAGAATCACTACTATTTTAATATATTTAGTAGTCAGGATGTCTTAAAACCATCCGTATTATCATACCCCAGCTGTTCTCTGTACTCCACCATTTAACTTTTTCACAATAGCTGGTGCACAAAACATAGCTTTTGACTGTAAAGTAATTATAAAGAAATGTTTGTTGCTGAATAACATTTTACAGGCATACAGACTTTGATAGCAGTTTAATATTTTGTGTGAACCAGGAAGCCTTAGAACTGTATGTGAGCAAATGTCATAAAGAAGATACTGCATAAGGAAACAGACTCCTAATTTTATCCTTTGTATATTGCACACTGTTAAAGTATAACCCCAGCTTAAAAACTTTGCTTTCAGATCTGGATAGGGTGAGCATGGATTAGAACCTCTCTAAGGTTTTTGTTAGTGTCTTTACCCTCGTCAATGAGAATTCCCTGTACTTCTGGTTCCCAGACACACAACAGAAAGAAAGTGAAACTCTCCCCAAAATGAGGGAAAATCCCATCTGTGATAGCTGTTACCAGGACAAGCTTCTCCATAGGAAGATACCCCCTCTAATCCTGTTCCAATGACAACCATATCATTTTGGATTCTCCATCTTTTTCTCTCCCGTTGATAATGGTCCCCAACACAGATTGAGGTTAGAGTTATATATTTCTGAATAAAAATAACTTGTCCATGAATGGGCATATTCAAAGTGTATGTAAAGCCAAAACTTATTTTTTTTTAGATTTAACCACTTGAAGCCTGGGGTGTTAAACCCCCTTCCCATCCAGGCCATTTTTCAGTATTCAGCGCTGCGGTACTTTGACTGACTTTTATTCCGTCATGCAATGCTGTACTGAAATACATTTTATACCATTTTTTGGGGACAGATAGAGCTTTCTTTTGGTGGTATTTATTCACCACTGGGGTTTTTGTTTTGTAATATATTAAGGAAAAATTACAGAAAATTGAAAAAAAAACTGTTTCCCCCTATATTAAATTCTAAAACATTAATTATTACCCAATTTTTTGGTAAAATATAAAAGACGGGGTCACGTCGGGTAAAAAGACACCAAACATGTCAAGCCTTAAAATTGCGCACACACGCGAAACCTCAAAAAACTACATTACCCAAAATTGGCCATAGATGACGCTTTAAAAGCTTTTACCGCTCATCAGTTTAGTGTTATCAGTGATTGATGGCCCTAAATTGATTTTTGAATCAATTTACTCTGCAGATACCACTGCTTGTGGCAGAGAGTTCTACAATTTAACTCTGACTGAAAAGAAGCCCCTACGCCGTTTGTGGTTAAATATTTTCTCCACCAATTTTAGATGGTGGCCTCTAGTTTTTGTTTTGGAGTTTACAGTAAAACATGTATTGCTGATGTTGCCATCACCACTAAACATCTTGTACATGAAAATCATGTCCCCTCTTAATTCTCTCACTTTCAGCGTGAAGAAGTTTAAATTTAGCAACTTTGTCTCATAGCTCTGATCCTCCAGCCCATTAATTAGTTTAGTTGCTCTTCTCTGGACTCTCTCCAGTTTAAGGACATGCTTTCTATGGACTGGTGACCAAAACTGAAACTTATACTCAAGATGATGCCAGACCAGTGATCTATAAAGTGGCAAAATTATAGCTTTGTCTCTACAGTACATTGCCTTTTTAATACAAGACAGTCCTCTGCTAGCTTTGTTTGCCGCAGTCTGGCACTGCGTGCTGTTATTCAATCTGTGGTCTACTATGATCCCCAGATATTTTTCCATTTCTGACTTCCCTAGTGGAGTTCCCATTAATGTGTATTACGCTTGCCTGTTTTTAACCACAGAATGCATTACTTTACATTTTTCAACATTAAACCTCATCTGCCATGTAGTTGCCCACTCCCCTATTTTATTCAGGTCCTCCTGTAATGTTATACTGTCTAAGCTTGTGCCTAGTACCCTCCCAATTCTAGTATCATCTGCAAACACAGAAACATGGCTATTAACACCTTTCCCAATATCATTAATAAACAGGTTAAACAGTATTGGGCCTAGCAAAGAACCCTAGGGCACGCCACTCTCAACCTTAGACCATTGTGAAAAAGAGACATTTATCAATACTCTCTGGATATGTTCCAGTAGCCAGTTCTCTATCCATGTACACACCATTTCATCTATGCCCATAGATTTAAGCTTGTGTATTAGGCGTGGTACTCTGTCAAAAGCTTTTACAAAATCCAGGTATACTACATCCACTGGCCTTCCTCCATCGAGATCACTACTCACTTCTTCGTAGAATGTTAGTAGGTTGGTCTGACAAGAACGGTAGTCATTCCCTCAAACAGTATGCATACCATTGATGTTAGACTGACTGGTCTGTAGTTCCCCACCTGGCATCTTAAACCTTTTTGGAATATTGGTACTACCGTTTCTTTATGCCAGTCACTTGGTTCCAGTCATTAACGAGTCCTTGAAAATGAGGAATAAAGGTTTTGCTATAACATGGCCAAGCTCTCTAAGTACCCTGGGGTGCAGGTTATCTGATCCTAACTATTTATTTGCATTTAGTTTTTCTAGTCTGTGTTGAACCCCCGGCTACCGTCAACCACTGCAGTATCTTACGCACTAAGCTACGCACATTCTTATCTCAAATTCTCAGTTTGTCCTGGAGACTGTTGTCTCCAATATAGAAAGTGATGGGAAATCTTAAGTTCTTGAGTTGCCATAGGAACAGGAGGATGAGGGGGAATCCTTTAATGGGACCACCTGTTCTATTGGCCACTGTCTTACAGGGGATAGCTCCTTGCATTTGAGAGATCACCTCTTACTTCCTACTCTATTGCTGGGACAGGAAGTGAAGTGAAATCTCTTTAAACCTAAGAAAGATAGCAAAAATAAAAAAAATACCTGACCATTCCACAATTGTAGTTATTATTTTTTCATGTTTATTATGGAAAGGAGCAGCATGAAAAATACATTATCCAATAACAATCAGCAATAATCTTTGAGTGCTTAATTTAAGTAGCTGCTGTGGCTTATGTATATCAGCAATATTAATTGATCTGCATTAATAAAGCTATCTATGTATGTGATATGTTCATATTACTTTAATATAATAAAGTGTAAATTCAGCCAGTATATTTTGTTTTTAGTTCTGGACAGAGAACATCTGTCAGATTTTCATTGTTGTCTGAGTGGGGCCTTGAAGAGTTTTCCCCTCACTTCCTGCCCTGATGTCAATGTTGTCATCCGGATAGGAAGTGAAATAAAATTTCCCTATCAGGATGACAGAGAGTAGTAAAATGTGAAAGAAGTTTCTAATTCTGCCCCACTTTATCCAAACCTAAAAATAAAAGTGTTGTGAATAGAGATTTCAAAAGAAACCTTTTAGAGTAATATGGAAAGTACCAATGCTTCTATCCTGAACTTGCTACCGTGTTTCCCCGAAAATAAGACACTGTCTTATATTTTTTTTGCCCCAAAAAACACACTAGGTCTTATTTTCAGGGGGTGTTTTATTTTTTTTTAATGTGCAAGAAAATGTACAACAATCCAAAGTTATCTGGTATCACTCCACCTGTCACAGTAACTGGCGCTATAGAGGAATATCGGCTAATGCGGCTCTGCTCCCTCCGCCGCCGCAGCCTTGCTTTCTACAGCGCCGGCTTCCTTTGCCACCAGGGACTGTGGTACCAGCGGTGCAGCAGTGGGGACATCAGACAGTGGACAGCGCGGTAAAGTACGGTACCATTTACCGGTACACATTACAGTACCATTACATTAAGCAGTGTCTTCAGGGGGACAGCAGTTGGTGAAGTCTGGAGGGTCTCCCCTGTCATCCCCTTAATACAGTATGTCCCTGCAGGCTGATACCATCTCTCCTGCAAGTTCCCCCTCACATGCTATCACCAAACTAGGCCTTATTTTCAGGGTAGGTCTTATATTATAGGAATCTTGAAAAATGGTACTAGGTCATACTTTCGGGGTAGGTCTTATTTTCGGGGAAACAGGGTATTTGCCTGGCTGTTATACTGGTCTCAATGTTTTGAGTCAAAGTGGTTGATTTAGAAAGTAAGGCAAGCACGCTGTTCATCTTGCAAGGGCTTTTTCACCATAAGGGGGATATTTTCCTTAGCTCAGAGAATGTGGTGGAAATTCATATTGCAAAGAATACCCAATCATGTGCAAGGAAAATTAAAAAATAACAATATTGGTGCTTGCACATTATTGGATGAGCTAAGTCAACAGAGCTTCACCCCATTCACTAAACTAAGGGAAAGTAATTTGTAAAGTGAAAAGCCTATTTGTCTTTAT